TCCCTTCACCCAAAGGGGGTGGAGAACGTGCAAATTGTGCACATGTATGTGTGTGTACACACATGTGTGCCTGGAGAGCTCTCTGCCTGGAGAGCCTTGAGGTCTGAGAACCCCCAACTCCTTCCCTACCCCAACCTGCATGTGTGCATCAAAACCCCCATGTGCTGAGGGCCACAGAGTTGGGGTCAAATGCTCTCTTCCCACCCTGGCCTTCAGCAGGTCATGTAACTTTGGGTTAGTCACTCAACCTCTTTGGCTTTGTGTTTCAACATCTGTAAAATGAGAAGTGTCCACATCTTCAGCCCCCTCCTCTTCCTGGTACTGCCACCAAACAGATCTGGCTGGCAACCAGAGCAGAACCAGGTGGGATGGGCTGCCACGGTGTGGGCCTGAATGAAGGAGAGAAGAAATGACTGGGGTGCCCGCCTCGCCTGATCTGACACCCACCACCTCCTCATCCTCTAAGAAAGACATGAAAATACACTTGGCCTTGGAATCTCTCCACTCTAGACTGGTTGTTGAAGACAGTGAGGGGGACTGCAGAAGAAGAAAAGAATTCCCCTCTGTCTCCCTGGACCCAGCTGCTGCCCTGGGCTTGTTCTGCCCCTCCTTCTTGACCTCACTTTTTGAGGATGGCCAGGTTCAGCTACTGTCCACACACTAATGAGCCAGAGTTGGCTGCTCACTGTCTAATTCCATAAAAACCTGAGCTGAGCTCCAGAGCAAGACGGGCACAGCCTTCCCCACAATATAGTGCATGGTGCCTCCTGGGGCTGTTCAGGAGGCCCAACCTGGACCTCTCTCCTGGCTCTAGAGACCCCATCCAGCTGCCTGTGGACACTACCTGCAGACACCCCCACAACTCAAACTCAGCCTGAACACAGCAGCTCCTCCTTCCTTTTAATAGTGCCACCAGTCTCCCAGGGCCTTGGCCTCCAAACTTCCATCCCTTCTGACTCTCCTTTTCCTTTAGTTCCACACCCAGTTCTTCCCAAGTCCTGTCAATCCTGTCCCAAGCTTTTTGCTTCTTTTCATTTTTCTGCCCCCTGGTTCATTTTTTTAAAAAATTATGAACGATGCATAGAACATAGTTGCTTGACTCTGTCCTAGGTGCTTTAAAGATCCTACATTCCTTAGCTCTCACGACCTTGGCATAGAGATGAGGAAACTGAATTACAGAAAAATGCAAGCATCTTGCCTAGGGCCAGGATTTGGGCCCAAGCAGACTACTCCAGAGCCTGGACTTTGAGCTCTCACACAAGGACTGTGAGAGAGTCTGAAGGCTTGTCCTGCACTTTTAACCTCTTCCTCTTTCAGCCTCTCACACATGACACTCACTGATGAAACCTTCTTCCTTTCCTATTTAAGAAAATGCTGGATTGCGGTTATAGCTCAGTGGTAGAGCATTTGCCTACCCATGTGAAGCGCGGGGTTTGATCCTTAGTATCACATAAAATAAATAAATAAATAATAAAGATTTTGTGTCCATCTACACCTAAAATATTTTTTTAAAAAGAAAAATGTTTAACAACAAATATTATTACAATGCTTCAGCTTTCTGAAGCATGTCTTTGAACATGTCATTACTCTGCTCAAAAAACCTTGAAACTCCTCAGACTTCCACATATCATGCAAACAGAATGAAGTCCATCCCTGGGCTGGGGATTCAAGAATATGACCCCACAACCTCCCCAGCTCCCCTGAGGACCCCTTCACCATTCCCAGCTCCCCTCAGGCACTCATTCCTCTAGCACCATTCTGCCTGTGCCTGTGCCCCTCCAAGCCCCCCAGGCCTGCCCACCCTTCCCATAATGGGGTAGGAACAGAGCCCAAGGGGATCTGCATCTGCCTTGAAATGGTAAGCATGTGATTTTCCCCCTTTAAACCACCAAAGCTCCTACCAGAGTATGTCACACAGAGATAGGCACGACAAACACGATGAAGGAATGAACGTGTGGGTAACTGTGGAAATGAGTTGCCTGGTGAGGGTGGAAAGTAATTATTTCATTAACTAACATTTGTGCAACCCTTAAGGTTAACACTAACAGTTCACGCCAAAAGCTTACTGTGTGCTGGCCACAGTGTTGAACAGTGTTATTTAATTCTATGAAGTCAGTTCCCCATTTTACAGATGGGGAATCTGAGGCTCAAAGAGGGGAACTCACTTGTCATACAGCTTCCAAGTTGGGGAGGTAGGATCTACTTCTGTGGGCCATGCTGTGACCACCATGCCTAACTGTGTCTAGATGCCAGAGAAGTGTCACTTGATGTTCCAGCTTTTCAGTGTCTCTTGCACTGACAACATAAAAATGTCTGAGGAATAAAGGATTTTATTTAAAGAACTTATTCATCCTGATATTCATTAATTTACTACATTCATTGGCCGGGCACTGTGGTGCTTGCTTGTAATCCCAGCAACTCAGGAGGCTGAGGCAGGAGGATTGAAAGTTCCAGGCCAACCTCAGCAACTTAGCGAGACCCTGAGCAACTTAGTGAGTCCCAGTCTCAAAAAAAAAAAAAAAAGGACTGGAGATAAAATTCCATGGTAAAGCACCTATGGGTTCAATCTCCAAGTACTGCAGAACAAAACAAAATTTAAAAAGCCCCAACCACATCCAAGTTTTAACCCAAGTGTAAACAGTGTAGCTGTTTTAACCTGGCAGTGTAGAACAATGACAAATTCTAATCTCCAGTAGCTGATATTCTTGTAGGAGATGCACAGAGTGTGTGAGAGAAAAAGGAAACAAAAAATAAAAGTCAGGAGTAACAATTGCTATGGGAAAAACACAGGAGGTTAGGAAAAAGCAACAATCCAATGTGCTAGGTGGGGTATGCAGGTGGCACTTCTACTGTGCACAAGAAGACCTCCACGTGAAAGCGATGTCTGAGCAGAGCAGCGGGCCCAGGCTTACACATGCATGTGACAAATTGGTTATAGAATGGAGGGTGAAGAGAGAAAAGTGGTAGAATAAAGACTTCCCTAATTTCCCTCACACAGAGGGTCCTCTTTTTCTATGGTCTTTAGAGGGGAGGTCTAGCTGTGAGAAAGCAAGTGAGGAAGGATCCATGCATCATTCCTAGTTAAGAATTGCTTGGCCCAGGCAAGGAGCAGTCAAGAGGCCCATGCAACTGGAGCACAGTGAATGAAAAGACAAGGAATAGGTGGATTTGCAAACATGAAAACACTGAGGCCTACATAAATTCAAGTTCTGCACAATGCCACATGTCTGGGATATATTAATAGCTACAATTTATTGAGTGTGTTCCACATACCTGGCACTGTACTCAGTCCTGCCAACACAAAAACTGCAGGATCCTTAGAGTCTAATGGGGAGACAAAGATTTCCATAGTGACATGTGATTGGCGCTACATCAGGCTGCTCTGAAACTACAAAACTGGAGCATCTAGCCTGGACTCCAAAGCAAAGAAGTTTCCTGAGGAGGTGGCACTTGAACCATCAAGTAAAAGAAGGAAACACCTCTGGAACACAGATGTGGAGAAGGAAGGCAGGTCAGACTTGGCCTGGCTAGGGAGCAACTCAAACAGCAGTGCTGGACCTAGGGATAGCTTGCTGGAGGAGGGGCTTGGGTGTGTGGGACTGTAAGTGCATCTGAAAGTGGTGGCCAAGGCTTACACATGCATGTGACAAATTGGTTATGGAATGGAGGATGAAGAGAGAAAAGTGGTAGAATGAAGACTTCCCTAATTTCCCTCACACAGAGGATCCTCTTTCTCTATGGTCTTTAGAGGGGAGGTCTAGCTGGGAGATGACAGAAGATCAGAAAGTAAGTCGGCACTCCCACTATATCTTGGTTTCTCACCCCATCTAGAAGGTTCAGACCCTTCTTTTAGTCTTCTCTGAGTCCTCACTCCAGGGCAGCCCAAGGCATGGGTAGGAGATTCCTCAGTAAATAAAAGGTTACCTACCAGCAGCACTTCCTGGTCTTCAATGTGTTGCCCTGACCTATGTGTCTTACAGTCAAATTAGGAGGACAGAGCTCTTTTCCACCCTCTTTTCATAGGTGATGCTGCAACTCAGAGAGGTCAAGGGCTTTCCAAGGTTAGACAACCAGTGGGTGACTAAATTGGAACTCCAGCCCAACTCTTGAGATTGCAAACCTCACAGTGACACTGCAGCAACTGCAGCAAATGGGACCTGGTGATGACTGAGTCCCAAGGACAAGGCTGGAGAAGGGGGTGGATTGGGCTCTGAAGTGGGTATAGGATGGAGACTGGGTGATGGGGGCTGAGCAGAGGCAGGAAGACAGGAGAGGCTTTGAGATAGAACTAGTGATGTCTCCAGAAAGACCTGGTTAAATGTCCTAACAGCATTGAAAAGACAGACGTTGCATCCTCCCAACCACTTCTCTGGGAGACAAGGGAGGCAGGGGCCTATCCTATTTCTCCCACCTTACAGGTGAGAAAACCAAAGCTAGGAGAGGTGGCTACATGGTTTGCCCAAGGGCCATAGGAATTTAGGGCCCAGAGGCCCTGTTAGAAGCAGGCAGAGTGCACAAGACATCCAGGATTTCCCCCCTCTACCCTGGATGATGAAATAGATGACGGAGATAGAAATCAGGGCCGTGATCACACAGGGAGAGGGAACAAGGCAGGAGCCTGGCTGGAGCCTAATTGCGGCATTGATGGTGGAGAGATGAGGCCCTGACACAGCTCTGGCTAAGGGCAGGCGGCAGGCGGCATCAGCTGGTCGGGTGTCACGGAGTCCCCGCGCCTCCTCCCTCCCCCGCGGACCCATCCACTTGGGCTTCTCCGCAGCACCGAGCTCCCTAATCCCGGGGGAAGGGGGAAGATACTGAGGAGGGGAGGAGGAGGGGAGCGGAGGAGGGGGCGGCAAGCACCTCCTCCCTGAGCTCGCGAATCCGCAGCGTCCTCCGCAGCATCCTCCCAGGCCCGCCCCCCCCCCCCCAGGCCCCCCCCCCCCTCGAGCGGATGGTACGCTCCGGTCCTCTTGGCCCGGCTGCAGTGGATGTTGCTAGAACCCACGCGGAGGAAGGAAGAGACGCAGGCAGGCTGCGGTGACCCAAGCGGCCGCCCCTGCCTCAGGGACCCCTTCCCCGAGAGACGGCACCATGACCCAGGGAAAGGTACCGGCATCTCCCCCGACCTGCACCATCCTCTATCCTCCGGGCTCCCTGTCTCCCTGTCATTCTGAGTAAGCTCCCTTGGACCACTTTAAGCAGCTTTCCCTTGTCTCCAGGGCAAAGGTGCTCTGTGATACTTGCTGAAGTCAGAGAACCAAAAGGCCCATCTCTAGAAAAGGGTTGGCACCTCTCTGGACCCCTGGGCTCTCCTCCCTTCCCATCTCTTCCACCCCATACTTTGCTATCTCAAGACTTTACAAGGCCATGGCCTCCATAACCAGCCAGCCTGGGTGTGCAGCATAACTGTATCTATGTGCTGTGTATTTGTATGCTAGGATGAACCTTGAGGGATAATGCTTGTGGGCATCCCTCCACTTGCAGACCCAACCACTTTATAGTCATCTTTCACATCCTCAAAGAATCCTTCTCCCCACCATCACCCCTAACTCCCTGTCATTACTCTACATCTGGTTATCTGGATATCTGGATATTTGGATAAGTACATTATGGTTGGGGTTACTATGGAAACCCTGCATCAGGATGCCCTGGTTTTTGTTTTTGTTTTGGCCAGGCATGAGACTGATAAAAATATATTCTTATTTTCTAGTTTTAGGCCTGAATTGTGGGGGAGGGCTGGGCAGAGACTTGGCTGGCCCAGTAGGGTTATGTAACATCAACAGCCTGTGGAATTATACAACCATTAGGGCCTAGGGCAAAGGGGGAGGGTCCTCCAGTCTGCTGTTTGGAGGGCTAAGGATTGGGCAGAGAAAACAGAAGGCCCTCCCCTACTCCCCTCCCCCTTCTTAGCTTTGAGATGAGCTTCTGAGCCAATGGCATCCCTCCCTGGGCCCTCAGATCTTCCTCTCCCTGTTTTTAGGTTCTTTGGGCATCAAAATGATGTCACTGGGTGATACCACCTCCTGCCATTGGCCGGACATCACTTGGGAATGCCATATGTGTGTGTGTGTTCTGGGGAGTGAGTGTCAAAGTGGAGCTGAGATAGGTTTTCCCACGCTCGACCCCTGAGGTCTGCATGATGAAGGGATCTGGGAGGGGGAGAAATGCAGTCTCACAGGCCTGGGTTCCTGGATCCTTCCCCAGGGGCCTGGGGACGTTGAGCCTTCACTTCTTTTCCCCAACTTGCCCCCCACCAGTCTCTCTGCAGGTACTATTTTCTGTCTTGGGGTGAACTTGCTACTTCCTGCCTCCTCAATCCCTTGCCTCAGTTCACGCACTGGGATAGACAAGACTCCTCCAGTCCAGTAGTCCTTTGGGCTAGCTAGGAACCAGGAGTCTTCTGGTGTTCGCCCATCTCTGGGCCAGACAACCTGCTCATGAGCCCTGCTGTCTTCCTTAGGACCTGTCAACTTCAGCTTAGGTCAACTTGGAATCAAACCTAAATGCCACTTTCTGAGTCTGGTCTCTTTGTGGCTCTTGTTTTCACATCACCTCCTCCACACCAATCTTTCCTTCTCTGGCCACATCACTGAGACCTCACAGCTCATAGCCTCCCAACAAAGCTAAATGTGGGCATGATGGGGCTGGGACATATCTGAGGATAAACAGATTTGAGTTCTCAACTTGCCATGGGCACATTTTCCCCGGGGCCTCCTTCCCTCATTCGTTAAGTGAAGGAAGGGGCTAAACTAGATGTCTTTTGAGGTCCCCTCCAGCAGTGGCATTCTGAAATTCTGTCTGTTTGGAGGAGAAGCCAAGGTTCCCATAGGATGAGGCCAGAACAGGGCCCCGACCAGGGGCTCGTGTCCTCCCTGCACCCGGCCCTCTCCATCCTCTTTTCTCTTTCCTCCCTTTCCTTTCCCCTTCTTGTCCCCTTCTCTCCCCTGTCCCCATTCTCCTTGTGTCATTTCTAGCCCAGCAGAAAGAGACCAGTCCCAGTTTGTGGGACTTAGGCCCTGTGCCCCAGCAGGCCATGTGTGGCCCTGTGCCCATGGATGAATCACTCCTCTGTGATCTTCAGTTCCTTGATTTTAAAACGGAGATCAAAATACAACCAGCAAGGCAGCAGGGAGATGAAATGAGAGAATCTTTCATCCAGTAATGTTTTTGAGTGCCTACTATGGGCCAGGCCCTTCTGTGGACCCCAGGGAAACAGTGGGACCACAGAGACCCAGGCCCTGCCCCCCAGGGACAGTGACCACCAATGCTGGACACTGCTAAGAATTTTCCCCTTTCTGAGTTCTTATCCTGGCTCCATGGTCCACCCATGGCTAGCCCCCATTCTCTTGGAGCTCAGTTCTGCCATTGATAAAATGGGGAGATTTTTGTCTACACACTGTCCTTCCTAGTACAGGTGAAAGCACCCAGGGAAGTTCCAGGAATTGGGCTGACAAGGAGGGGTTGGAAGGCTCTCTTTCCCTGGTGACTGTCTTTCTGTCTCCACTTCACAGCTCTCCGTGGCTAACAAGGCCCCTGGGACCGAGGGGCAGCAGCAGGCGAATGGTGAGAAAAAGGAGGCTCCAGCAGTACCCTCAGCCCCACCCTCCTATGAGGAGGCCACCTCTGGGGAGGGGCTGAAGGCAGGAGCCTTCCCCCCAGCCCCCACGGCTGTGCCTCTCCATCCCAGCTGGGCCTTTGTGGACCCCAGTAAGTCACTCAGCTCCTGGAAGATGGAGCATGTGGGGAGCAGTGGGCCCACAAGGAAAACCTGGGTGGGAAGAAGTTGCCCAAATGCCAGATGCATTGTATGGTTGTTGTATGCAGTTGCGCTATCAAAGACTTTGAAGGGCTATAGCTGTGGCTCAGTGGCTGTGGCTGGGTGGCAGAGCACTTGCCTAGCATGTGTGAAGCACTGGGTTCAATCCTTAGCACCACATAAATAAGCAAATAAAATAAAGGAATTGTCCATCTACAACTACAAAATTAAAAAAAAAAGACTTAGAATTTGAGGACTATTCTAAGGGTAGGTTGAAGAGGACTCCATGAAAAGGGAGAGGTGATGTCTGTAGTCAGGGTGCTCTCTGACAGGGAAAAGGGGATTTTTTTTTTTTTTTCAAGTCATCAGGCTAGAACAAGTGGAACAGATAGATGGAGGACAAAAGCCAGGATGTGGTCTAGAAAAGCCTTCCTAGAAGAAAGAGATGAAGCAAGGGATTGGTCATGACCTTAGCTGGATCTGGTTCCCTGTGAGTGGGGGTACAACATTTACACATTGATGGATCTGAAACCTTAGCAGGGAAGGTCCCCATGGAGACCCCATGGTTTGGGGGAGTTAGGGGCCTGGGGATCCACCTCATCAAGTACTTTCATTGTCTCCCTTCCCTTTCCCTAGCCAAACCAGACTGGGCACGACTCAGAGCCACACCTAAGGCCAGTGCCAGCTTCTTCTGGCCAAGGTTCCCTGCAGGAGCTTCATCTCGGGGCTGGGAATAGGCAGCTTCCCACAGGCTGTAAGGAAGAGTCCCTCACATACTCCTCAACCCCTTCTGCGTCCTCCCGCAGTCTCTCCCCTCCCCCATTTTGCCATCCCCACCTCCACCACCTGCAGAATTCTAGAAGGGACCCCAGAGACAATGCTCCAGACAGAGCCCCTGTTTGCAGGAAGTGGCCACCATAGTCTACGGCTCCCACTACCAACCTCCTGGACCTGGAACCCAGATGTCTCGTGGTTCACACTACTGGAAGGCCAAAGGTCTGATGTTTGTGGGCGCCCTTTCCTCTGCCCCTGACACCCACAGACTTGCTTTCCCTCTCCTTTTCTCCCTGGCCATTTGGGTTGGCAAAGAAAATAGGCAGAATGTGAAGGAGGAGTGAAAGATAAGAGGGAGGCCCCAGGTTAGGTTTAGGTTTACAGTGGACCTGCCCCTCTGCCTCTTCTTCATTTCTCATGTTTTGGTTGCTAGAGTGAGCTGCTTTACCATATATATATATTTTTTTTCAGTTGTAGATGGACACAATATCTCTTTCTTTCTTTCGGGTGCTGGGATTGAACTCAGGGGTGCTCAACCACTGAGCCACATCCCCAGCCCTGTTTTGTATTTTATTTAGAAACAGGATCTCACTGAGTTGCTTAGTGCCTCACTTTTTGCTGAGGCTGGCTTTGAACTTGTGGTCCTCCTGCCTCAGCCTCCCTAGCCATTGGGATTACAGGCGTGCGCCACCATACCCAGCTTTTTAAAATTTATTTTCATGTGGTGTGAGGATTGAACCCAATGCCTCACATGTGCTAGGCAAGCACTCTACCACTGAGCTACAACCCCAGCCCCTGGGCTGCTTTACTTTAAGAAATGTGTTCCAAGGAACAATCCAGTCAGGAAGAGCACTCCTTTCAATTAGCGTGTGATACACATTTCCTAGGTGTATGCCAGGCAGTGTCTGGCTCTGACATCAAAGGATGCAGGAGACTCTGCAAGGAAATGATGACTACCACCTAGGAGCACAGATTGAGTGAGAGAGGCCTGGGCAGCTCATCTAACCCGTCTGCTGGGCACAGAAGCCTTCCTAGCAGAAGGGATATCCATGCTGAGTCCTGAAAGATGCCATGAGTTAGCTGAGGGAAGAGGTAGAAAAATGAGTGTTTGAGGCAGAAAGAATAGAATGTGCATAGGTCCACAGGCAGGCCAGCATGTGGCTGAAAAAATGTACTCAGGCCAAGAAAAGTGGGAGGGAGGGATGTGTAGGGGAGCTTGGAGGACCCTGCTCCTGAAGGAGATTGGAGTCTTTGTTAAGGAACTGGAACTTGAGTGATGGGCTGTGGGGAGCCATTGAAGAGCTTAAAGCAAGGCCATATCAGTTTTTTTTTTTTTATTTTTATTGTTGGTTGTTCAAAACATTACATAGTTCTTGATATATCATATTTCACACTTTGATTCAAGTGGGTTATGAACTCCCATTTTTACCCCTTATACAGATTGCAGAATCACATCAGTTACACATCCATTGATTTACATATTGCCATACTAGCGTCTGTTGTATTCTGCTGGGAAAGGCACCATATCAGTTTTAAAGGACCAAGAAAGAGGTTATTGTTGCGGGGGGCAGTGAGGGAGAGATTATGGAGACCTGATGGGGCCAATGGAGGAAAACAGAGTGGACACATATGAAGACTTGGGAATGGCCCTGAGGAAGGACAGGGTATTATAGTCCCCACACGAGGCACAGAGGACATAGGGTTTAATTTTTATCTTATTTGATCCACATAAAATGAGTATCACCAACCCATAGCAGAAGATACTCAGAGAAAGCTGGTGACTTGCTCAAGGTCACACAGCTAGTCAGTCCTAGAAAATGGATCTGCCTGTAGGTCTGTTTGACCATAGAGTACATGCTCTTCCAAAAATCTGAGTTCTGGGACCAAGCCCTGAACCTTTATCCTCACTTGACCCTCCACTTCTTTCCCTTGTCCTGGCTTTATTTCCCCTCCAGGATCCCACCCGGCCCTGATTTCTGGAACACCAGAAAGTCTGACCCGTCAAACCACCAGTCCCCAGAGCCCATTCCAAGGGCCTCAGAGGAATCCAGGGTCAGAATCTTTGACCCTGGGATGTGCTGAGGGGCTTGGAGAATGGCTATCCTTTTCTGATCCTTGACCACAAGGAAGCCAGGGTACCCAGGGAGGAGGATGGGGACACAAGACAGAAGGGACACTTGTGTGTGGTAGAGCTCAGCCCCCAGAGCCCCAACCAGGCTAAGTAGAGGGAAAGGGAGGAGAGATGACAATTCATTTCCAGGACCCAGAACAGGAAAGTTAAGAAGTGACCAGGGAGAGAGATCTAAGTGTGGGCTGGAGTGGGGTGTTTGATAATGGAGCAGGAGAAAAAGACTTTGCTGAGTCCAGAGAGCCATCTTGACCGAGCAGATGGCCATTAGGGACAGTGTTTTTGTGTACAGGAACCCTCATGACCCTCCACTTGCCCACACAGGCAACAGCTCCAGCTATGATGGTGGTTATCCCTCGGGGCACCATGAGCTCTTCACCATCTACAGTTGGGATGACCAGAAAGTTAGGCGGGTCTTCATCAGAAAGGTAAGCGCCTTTCTCTGGCTCTCCAGAATTGGAGGCTTGCCTCTCAAAGTCCCTTGGCCTAACCTCTGCCTGCAGAAGCCACCTTCCCCTCTTTCTTGTGATTCCAGCTGATGGACATCCCTATTAGGAAGAGCTTCTTAGTTTCACCCAGGCCCCTGCTGCTCCCACCTCTGGATTCCATGGTTGTTTTCCACTTGTCCTGGGTCTTTCCCAGTGATTCCTAAGAAGGAGGATGGAGTGCCCAGGAAGTGGGTCTGGAGATTCAAATGAGTCCCTGAGAGTCTGGGGTCTCCCTGAGCCTTGATGGAAGCCTGAGCCTGCCTGGCCCCAAACAGGGATCCTCAAACTGAGAAGAACCCCATTTATTCCCCAGGTCTACACCATCCTTCTGATTCAGTTGCTTGTGACCTTGGGAGTCGTGGCTCTCTTTACCTTTTGGTGAGTTGACAATGTGAACTGGCACCATCCAGGGTGGTCATGGCCAATCCTGGGGCAGGGGAATTCCCAGTCAGACCTCATTTGGAATGTTCACCAAGAGAGATTTGGGGGGACACCTGAGGAGTCCTCTATCCAGAGAGACTTGCTGCTCTCTGGGCCTGCAGGTGTCTAAGAGGCAGTCTTTCTTACAGATCCACCAGCTACAAACCCAGGAACCCCTGGTCCCAGCTTGGGCCTGGGCTGTAACTCCCTGAGTCTCCAGGGGCTGCATCCCTCCTTCTTCCTCCTTTTGAAGTCTTGTGAACCGTATGTGACGGGTGCAAATGTTGAACCAGAAATAGAGACCTATGGTAAATTTTGATCTTCTCTTCTTTGCAGTGACCCTGTTAAGGATTATGTCCAGGCCAACCCTGGATGGTACTGGGCATCCTAGTGAGTATACCCCACCCCTGAATCCCCTTCCCAGAGAAGATCCAATGGCAATAGGAGGGAATCTCTGTGTCTCTGTTGACAGATCCAAGCACATGACTTCCCCATACCCCATGGAGACTGTCCTTCCAGATCCCTCTGCCTTACCCCATTCTGCTGGCTGCAGCACATGACCAGAAGGACTTTTCTGGAGTATTGAGGCCTGAACAGGGCAGACAGAAGATGTGGGTAGATTCTGGTGCCTGCATAACTTGGAAAGGGTGGGGCTCGGGCCATGGCTGGAGAGACCCCGTGCCTTGGCCCTAACAGAGGAGGGGGAACACCTTGACCCACACTAATGATAATGTTGCTATTCTTATTAGCATTGCTATTATTAATGCTTATGAAATTATTAATCATAATAGCCACCACTTAAAGAGTGCCTAATAAGGGCTGGGCATTCTTCTGTGTGCTTTATGTACAGTATTGCATTTGATCCTTGAATCTACTGGGCATGATTACCTCAGAAAACGAAGGCTCAGAGGGCTTGAGTAATTTGCCCAAGGTCACACAGCTAGTCAGTGATGATTGGAATACAAACCCAAGATTCAGGTTAAAACTTGTGACCTTTATCCTTCTGTTTGGCAGTCTCTTTTTAACCCTCAAGTCACCTGGCTCATGCTAGTCCTATAATCTTTTAAAGAACATAGCTGGTAGCTTGGGAGAAGAGGTGTGAAGTTTTAGGTGATTCTGACCCTCCTTTCTGGGTAATTAAGGAGTAATTCCGGATAATTCCAGGCCAGAACCACTCTGGGACTCAGGGAAGAGCTGCTCTTTCCATAGGCTTTCTGAGTGCCCAGCCCTGTACCAAGGCTACCAGGGATGAGGCTTCTGCAGTGAAAGACAACAGTTTGATGAAGGAGAGACTGGACTGGCAAAGGGCTGAAAGGATTTCTCAGAAAGTCATGGGGCCCTAGGGGTCAAAGCTCTGATCATCCGACTAAGGAAGTTGCACACTGTGGCTGTCCCAGGGCTGTTCCTGGATAGGGATCTGGTGGGGAAGTTAACCCAAAGCCCCCTGGACCACCTTGAGCCCAGAGCAGTCTCAGAGTTGGACCTAGAGTTGGCACAAACCAGCCAAAGACTGGCAGTAAAGAGACTCTTCCTGGCCTCGGGCTTCTTGAAGAAGCTTGGAAACCTCTTTAAAGTTGTGGGTCCAGGAGAAGAGATTTTCATACTTAAAGCCTGTCCTAGGTCACAGGAGAAGAGGCCCTGTCTGCAGAGCAAGCAGGGAGGCATGTGTCTTTGGAGAGGAGAGGCATTATTTGGTAAAGCTAATGAGGCCCCAGGGACTGCCACCCCAGCCAGCCCACACAGCAGGTTGGCATGGATCCCAACACATAGTCACCACTGCCTAGTAGCCTCAGCCCCCCTGAGAACTCGGGAATGGAGTCCTTAGGTCTCTGGGCCTTCTGTGAGAGGGTCTCCAGGACCCCATGCCCTGAGCACCTGGCAAGAGGACAGCCTCAGGAAGTGGGGCAGAGTCCATGCCATGGTGTGTGTGTGTGTGTGGAGAATGGGGATCAGGGGAAAAGAGGTCAGGAGAATCTGGCCTCTGAGTGATGAGATCTGGAGTCCCTCCTCACCATCTTCAGGCTTGGAGGGGGGTGGTGCGGGTAGAAAGAAATTAGAAGTGGGCGTGGGCTATGTGCTTTTCATGGGGTGTCACAAAGCATGAAAGGTACTTAGGAGTTTCAACTGTCCTTTCCTCCAGAAAGCCCACCTGGGGTTCTGCCCTGCCCCTTCCTCACCCTCAACCCTTCCAATCCTGTGCCTGAGTCTGTTTCCTGATTCCAGAGGGTCTCACTTCCTCCAACACACCAAATGCTTTGAGGGCTCCATCACTGTATCTTCCTTTTAGAGGAGAGTAATATCAGTGAGAACAAAACAGCTCTTTTTCTGTGCATGAGTACATATAATTTTCATTCATCCTTCCAGTAAGACTATCAGGTGGGTACTATTATTATCCCCATCCTACAGATGAGAAAATTGGAGTGGAGAGATCATTGCTTCCCAAGCAGCACAGCCAGGATAGAATCCCACACTTACCCTTTCTGCTGTGCTGCCTACAACACTGGATTCTAGAGCAGGACAAGTCGGGAGGGGCACTAGATTTGGCTGGCCTTCATCTGAGCCTCACTCCCTGTCGTTGAAACTCTGTAAACAGACTATCCCAGGCCCTGGGGCTCAGGCTCTGAAGTACAAATCAGCTGTTCTCTCTGCCTTCTCTAACTCATTCTCTGCCCCCTGGGACTCCAGCCTTGGCTTTCTCAAGGTCCCAGGTTCCCCTTCGTGGGTTCTGGCCTTATTGTCTGATTGCTCCCACTGAGCCATGGTGTCTGCAGCACAGCTGAGAAGGAAGACTTGAGGCTAGAGCTGGGGTGGAGGTGGGCCGTCCTGTCTGTCTGTCCGTCCGTCAGCCAGCTTCTAATTGCAATAATAGCAGCTCCAGTGGAGGAGGAGTTCGAACTCTGCGCCAAACCCTGAGTGCTTCACCTGCATTCTCTCTTCGGGCTTCCCAGCACCTCCTGTTTTACGAAGGAGGGAACTGGGACTTAGCCATCAAGTAGCTCATCCAAGATACAGTGGTAGTGGCACATGAATGCCGAGTTGGACTCCAGAGCCACACCATAGTCCTGGTCTCGGGTCCCTCTGCCCTTCCTTCTGACGTCTTGTCATGAGGGTTGAGGAGTAGGGATCAGAGAGAAAAGGAGACTGGACTCTTGCCCTCAGGGAGCTTCTAGTCTGGCCAGGAGACAGGACTTACCAAGGACACACGTAGACAAGGGTACTATTATCATTGTTGAGGTGACTGGCTAATGACTCAAGTGAGAGCAAAAGAGAGCAGATGCCGGAATATTTCTCAACTGGGGCAGGATGGGTGCTGCTGTCCCACATGGGCAGGGTGTTCAGCAGGTCTGGCACCTGGCACCAACTACCAGCAGAACCCCACCAATTGCTGTGATAATAGCTGCACATTATTCAACATCCACTAAAGAATAGAAAAGGGTCAAGATGGAGGGATCTTGTTCACCAAATTCAATATGGCATATCTTGACCCCTGCATTGCCTGTTTTTTAGTTTTGCATTGCATTCAGAAATACTTAAAGAGCTCCTATCAGGTGCAAGGCCCTGGGTTAAACGGTGGGAGTGCAAAATGAATAAGTTGCAGGCTGGCCCCCGGATGCTCCATCTGCTTGGGGAGTCTGATGAGCTGGCCCTTGAGGTATGGGGGTACAGGCTTCAGCTGAGGTACACCCATGAGGCACAGAGGAAACCCCTCTGGAGGAGGAAGCCTCAGGTGTCCTTGCCAGTACTTTACAGCAGGAACAGTGTGATGAGCACGTTTCCAGCGTGCAGAGCAGGTTGTGAGGAAGAGGGTGGAGTAGAGGGCCAAGTGAGGTGAGAGCAGGGCTGGAGAGGTGGGCGGGGAGGACCATATCCTTATTGCCAGGCCTTTGGGAATTTTATAGAGAGGAGTCACATGATCGGGTCTGTCGGTAGCTTGAAAGGTGGAAGCCAAGGCGGGAGGCAGGAGGACCAGACGGACTGCCATATAGATCAGGCCAGGGAGAGAAGAGAAAGAGGTGGCCCAACCTCAAAGGGTGGTGGTGGGGATGGAGGGAAGAGCACAGATTTGAGAGCTGCCAGAGTAGGAGGATAAACAGATCCAGGTGATTAATTGGGAGTGGCAGAGTGAGAGTCAAGGATGATGCCGGAGGCCTCTGGGTAGATGGCTTGGCGGGTACATGGTGTCCTCTGTAGCAGGGATATAGGAGAAGGAACAGAGAGGATGGAAAGATCAGCTCTACCCTGTTGAGTCTGACACATTTCTGAAAAACTACGTCTGCCTAATTGGTAGCTGGATGTTTCAGTCTGGAGTTGGGAAAGAAAATGTAGTTATGAAATATGGGGGTGCAAGTCCTGTAGGTTAGGAAGCCCACCTAGGGAGAGTATGAAGGGAGCAGAGTCTGTGTTGAAGGAATCAAGCACATTCAGAGACTCCCTGAAGGAGACTGAGAAGGAGTGGCCACTGAGGGAGGAGGGAACCCAAAAGTGTGTCATTGTAGAACCAGAGAAACAATAGGAGTGATCAGACTTAAGAGGTTAGGTAAGGACAGACAAGTGTCTTGGACTCAACAAGGTCACCCTGATGTAGCACAGCCATCTCTCATTAAGTAGGGTTGAGATGGGGCTTGCTGAGTTGGGGACACGAGAAGAGAATGAGTAGAAACCCCTTTTTTTAGAAGCTGGGCTATGAGGCAGTTGGAATGGCTGTAACTAGAGCTGGGAAGACAGGAGATAAAGACGGAGAATACCTGAGAAGGTTTGTGTGGAAGGAGAGGTGCCAGCAGGAAGGTTAAAGTGAGGGAGACCAGGCCTTTGAGGGGGTGGGCCCCAGAGGCCAAGCCAGGGGAGATTGGCCTGGGATGGGAGGAGACACAGGAGGACCCGTAGCGTGAGGTTGGCAGGTGGCAGGCAGGAAGCCAAGGGAGCCCCACCTTATTATCTTAGATCTTCTGGAACACAACAGGTAGACTATGCTGGAGAGTGAGGTGGTCTGGGAGGTTTGGGAAGGAGGAGGAAGTATGGAATTGCTGCTGTGGAGAGTGGGTGAGAGAACTGAGGAAAGGATGGAGAAGGGACGGCAATGCCATGCTGAAGCCTCATGGGACCCCGAGACCGTGCACTGGTGGTGGCACTAACCCCCTTCTTGGGTCCTCATCTCCCCACTCCTGGACTGGCCTTTGCCTTTGCTGTTCCCCGCCAAAACTTTGATGCTCAGGCCCTGCCTCTGGCCACCTGATCCAGACATTCATTCCATAGGTGCCACTTCCTGCTTATGCCAGGCACTGGCAGCACACAAGGGCCCTGCCATGCTGAGCTCGCAGCCTGGTAGGGCAGACCAACAATAAAGTAACTGACAAGATCGTTACAGGCCATGATGGGCTGAAAGAAGCAGTGTGGGGTGGTGGTTGTAAGCGATCTCCCTGGAGCCAGAGTCTGGGCTCCAATCCTGCTTCTGCAAGAGGGTATGTGTGACAGTCAAGTCACCTGACCTCACTGTGCCTCAGCTGTAAAGTGAAGAACACATCTCAAAAGAAAAGATGCAAGGATCACATCAGTTAATATTTGTAAAGCCGGTTAAAAACTCTGCCTACCACATCAAAAATACTGCACATGAACTTTTAAAGTAACAAGGTGATATCTGGGTGGTTCCTTTAGGTTGGCGGGTCAGGAGCAGCTGTCCATGGCACCCAAGTTTCAAAATTATTAGAAGCAGGTTTGTCCTATCCTCCTTCCTCTCCTCTGGGATTAGACCTAGAACCTGCCCATTGCCAGATTCTAGGATGACTGTGGCCTTCTCTTTGCTCCCTGCCCCCACCCCAACATTCTGCCTCACATTTTGTGGGCAGGGGTAGCCAAGTGAATGAGCTAGGAGACTAGGAAGAGCTTCAAGAGGGACTGGCTGACTTAGCCATCCGTCTGTCTCTTACAGTGCTGTGTTCTTTGCTACCTACCTGACCCTGGCTTGCTGTTCTGGACCCAGGTATGTTAATGGCTTGAGGATCAACTTGTTGAAATATGAGCAGAACTTTGATAGTCTGGACCCAGCCCTGCCCACCATCAGTGTACTGTGCACCCCTGAGAGGGTCCCAACTCTCTCTGGGCCTCTGTCAAGTAGCCTGCCCCTCTCTCCTTCACTTGGCACCTCTAATGTGTGGGGAAAGTTGATAGCCAAGTGGCATATGAAGGGGTGGCTGAAGGAAGAGGTTTCAAGGAGTGGGGGGGAGGGTAGCAGAGACCCCGTCCCCAACCTATGGCTTGCTTTACAGGAGGCACTTTCCCTGGAACCTGATTCTGCTGACCATCTTTGTAAGTACTTGGGGTGAACTGGGGTCAGATGCTGAGTGAGGATGGAGGAAAGAAAGCATGGGCTTTGAGGGCCAGGGAGTTTGGGTTGGGGACATCCAATGTGAGGACCCTGGGGACATGAGTGTTTTCACCCCATCTCTTTCACCAGAACATTCTACCTTATCTTTCCAAGTGGGCCTAGCCTTCCCCTCTATGTCCACTCTCGCCTTATTGTGCTTTTGTCCTTAAGAGGTTCCTAAGGGGTGTCCTAGAGCTATGGATAATGAAGAAGAGAGGGCTCTTACTGGGGGAAGACAGGCTGCCTAAGAGAGAAAGGGACAGCTGGCCTGGGAGACACTGTATAGCTGGATTAGTCCTGTGTAGTTGTCGAGGGGCATATGCACAGGGTAGAGGCCTGAGCTGGACCTTGAAGGTGCTTGGGCCCCCCAAATCTGAGTACTCTAACATTTCTTCTCCTGCCTCTCTTTTCAGACCCTGTCCATGGCCTACCTCACTGGGATGTTGTCCAGGTAAAGGAGTCAGATGGTAGGAGAGGAGGGCCAGGCCTGAAGCCAGGGACTGGCCACACTTGAGGGGAGCTGTCCTCAAAACACATCCTTCCTGGAAGTACTCAGGTGGGGGAGGGAGCTCAGGCCTGGATCCCTCTTCTCAGGCACCCCCTGGCCAGTGGCTCCAGGACCTGACCAGTTTGGTGGGGCAGAGGTGGGGGACCGTGGGGAACAAGGAGGCTTCTCTCAAGCTGTGATATAAAAGACCTCAGACTCATGTTCCTGAATTTACCTGTAAACTACCTCCAGGAATCTACAGAAACCCCTCTCATTCCTACTATCTCCTATTTAAGATATTTCTAACATGATGAGTCTAAGCACAAGGGCCTAGGGGAGAGGCTGGAAAGCTGAGAGAGGGAGGGTCCTGGGAAAGGGAACAGGATTGGGGCCAGAGGTCATAAGATCAGGTCCTGGTAGAAGAGGGTGGCCTTCTGGGAGGGCTGGGGGAGAGTAGAGCCCTCTCTGGAGCTGACCCAGGTCCTCGGTCCTCAGTTACTACAACACCACATCTGTGCTGCTGTGCCTGGGCATCACGGCGCTGGTCTGCCTCTCAGTCACCATCTTCAGTTTCCAGACCAAGGTCAGCAGGCAGGGGAAGGCACATGGGGCAGGGCTCCAAGCGGAGCCAGGCTGGGAGAGGTAAAGGGGTGAGTTGGGGCTGGGGAGACCTGGGGGAAGGAGGGCAATGCTGGTTTCTAGGGGTGAGTTCAAGACCTCAGACTTCACCCTCTGGTCAGCGCACAGCCTGAGCAGCGCTCCATGCTGCCCAGCGACGGTGCTGATAGCCCTCCTCTTTGCAGTTTGACTTCACCTCCTGTCAGGGTGTTCTCTTCGTGCTGCTCATGACCCTCTTCTTCAGTGGACTCATCCTAGCCATCCTTCTACCCTTCCAATATGTGAGTCTCCGGGCAGCAGCCCTTGGGGAAGCCAGGGAGGGACCTATGCTGGGGTGCTTTTCCCTCCTAGGATCCCTCCTAAGATTCCCTTCTGTGTCCCAGAGCCAAAGCCCCACAGCCTGCCATCCTGTCCAGCCCTTGCTGGCACCTGCCCGGGGCATGTTGGCAATGTAAGCGAGCAAACAAGGAGGCTTTTCTTGACAGGCCTGGGCACCTGCCCAGCCCCATGACCTGCATCCGGCTTCACCTTTTCCATCCTCCACTGTAGGGTGGAGGGGAGGGTGAGGGGAGAGTGTGGAACAGGGGAGGACTCACTGGGGCTCCTTGGGACCCACCAGGCCTTCTGGGAGATCAACCAAGCCAAAGAGGCAGAATTTTCCTGGCCCAGCCAGTGATAGATAGGGCAGGGGTCCCAGAACAGACCTCACCCCATATAGCATCCACTGGCTAGAGGTCAATTTTTAGCTCTTGTAGGGATTTCCAGTCTGCCCTGGGCATTGCCAACTAGACCCCACAGATTGGAGGCATCAGAGAGGAGGCCTTGAATTTTGAATCCTAGAAACCCAAGAGAGGAGGCAGTTTGGGTGCTGATGGGGACTCATTGCTCAGACCCCAGCCACATTTGGTACCAGGTGGAAGTGGACAAAGACTTGAACTCAGGGTTCCTGGTCCCGCATTGCCCCTTGTCTGCCAGGGCTGGTGGGGTATTATTCCTCACTGCCCACTTCCCGACCTCCATCCTGCCCAGCCCCAGCCTCGGGCATTTGGCTCCCATTCCCCAACCTCAAGATCCATTCTGGCATTTCCTTGGCTCTTCTCAGGATCCTGTTGACAAAGGGAGGAGCCGGAGCTGGCCTGGGGGCCTTCTATGTATCTAGGATGGAGAGGGAGGTGACAGGAAGGGGCCCCAGAACTTCAAAGAACCTTTTATTGACCCAGGTCTGGCTGATGGGATGCCTTTGTTTCCAGGAATCTTCTGGAAATTTCCCCCAATAGGCCCCACAGAGAGCAGAGGCTAGTGTGGCACCTCCTGTGTGAATGATTTCCACACACAGACGGGTGTCCCTGAGACCTGGGAGAGAAGAGGCTGGGATGGGGTGCTGTTCTGGCCTCTGCAGGCAATGTTATGCACAGCTGGCAGTCTCCAAAGTCCCCACACACGCTGAGTTCAAGTCTCTGTCCCCTTCCACCTGAGTCCCTTGCCCCCAAAGCAGAGCCAGGGAGCTCCCTGACAGAGGGACATACAAACTCCATATTGGACAGAAATGACAGGAAGGAGCAGCCTCAAGCCAGACCTAGGCTAGGAGGATGACAGGGCCCCAGCAGGATGACTTGTCCTTGTCCAGCCTGAGCCTGAGGCTGTGTGTTGAGGGAAGAAGTACCAGGTTGATTGGGAGCTCCCTGCCAGCTCTTCCATGTTTATCTTAGGGTCCCCACCCCCACCCATCAGAGCACTCAGAGAATCAAGGCCCCCCCTCAGTCCTGGGGCTTCTTAGGGAGCACCAGGGAAGGCTACCCTACATCCTCCATTCTCTGGACTTAGCCCTCCTCCTGGCCCCTCTGCCTGCTGCTGCTCTGGCCATCCCTGAGCCATACTTCCTCTTCTCCACAGGTGCCCTGGCTGCATGCTGTCTATGCAGTGCTAGGAGCAGGCGTGTTTACGTTGGTGAGTTGGGCCCCGCTCCCTGGGGGCCACCTTCTCCACTTCATGATCATCTCCCCTGGCCCCTCTGCCACCCCTGACTTTCTCCCAGTCCTCTTCCCAGAACTCTTTTGGAATGCCTGTGGGTGGGACTAGCTCAGTGCTGCATGCCGGGAATTCTATCTGGTGTCCAAGACAGACCAGCTGACAGGGGAGGGAGGCTGGAAGATGATAACCCAAGGATGGAAGCCGTAGAGAAAGGCAGATCTGGGAGAAGTTGCTCCTCCCTCTGGAGAGTGCCAGCATTGCTTGTGGAGGTGGGAGTGTGGACTAAGTTAGTGTTGTTCCCCTAGGGATAATCTGGGAGCTAGAAAGATTCCAAGTATCCTGTGAAAGGGACACTATCCGAATGCGCTTATTCTTTACAGTTCTCACCAAACTGGGAGTGTTGAGGATGATGATGGTGGCTATGGTAATAATAATAGCTAGTGTTTATTGAGCACTTGCTTCCCCACAGCAAGCTTTCCATGTGTGCTAAATTCTTATCATAAGTCTATAATTTTACTGTTTGTTATTAAGATAAGGAAACCGAAGCCCAGAGATGTCAAAGAACATGCCCAAGGTTGTACAGCATCCTAGGACGTGGTAGGGCCAATCTGGGAACCTAGACTGTCTGGCTCCAGAGTTCTGCTCAGGGTCAAAACTAGGTGGGAAGTACCTGGAAGCAGATGCCCAGGAAACAAAAGATGACCTGGGACAGACACCTGCCCAGAGCAGCGCAATGCAGACCTTTTGCATAGGTGGGCTTCAAGCTGAATGAATGTGATAGTGCCCCAGGATCCAAATGGGCAAGCTCATGTGGGTGACATCTTCTTGGGAAGGCATCCAAGATAAACATCCACTGCCAATGAAAGTGGTGACCAGACTCCCCTCTCCCTCACTGGCATATTCAGTTCAACACAAAGGCCAGAGTTTCCAGCTTAGTCACAGGCTCTCGGGGCTCATGGGTGACAGGATCTCCACCACAGCTAGAGGAAGCACTGCCTTTCACATCTGAAGCCCTGGATGTTAAGGGGCTGGCACAGTCTCACTGCCAGTAAGGGACATATCTGGAACCGGATGTCCTGCATATACCCTAAAGGACACCTACCTATGGGACCCTCAAAGAGGGCAAGCTTCTTTTGACTTGGGGTTGAGGAGAGAATGAGTCCTTTCCATCAATCCTCAACCCCTTCTCTCTCAACACAGGAAGGATGTGGGTCAGAACTGTGAGCAGATGTTAGAGAGGTTAGATGAAGATGAATCCAGGAATTGGGGTGTGGAGGTTCATGTATTCATCCTTTCTGCAGGTCTTTATTGAGCATCTACCATGTGTGGGGTGCTGGGCTGCAAGCCTGGACACTGGTCAACAGGAAGAGCACGGTGTGTGGCGCATAGTAGCACTAGATGAATATTGTAGAATAAACCAGTGACCTCCAGCCTTTAAATTTGATGGCTGGAAGAACTTGGAACTCCAAGCCCTCCTCTTCAGATGAGCAAACTAAATTTCAGTAATTAGTCCAAGGTTTTCTGGCAAGATAATGGTAAATCAATTAAGTGTGCCCTTGGTTAAGATTAGGCTGCCAGTTTTTCCCAGTCTACCTGGAATGTTCCTGGGCTCAGCACTCAAAGTCCCACTTCTTGAGAGAACCACCAAATCCTGAGCAAACTGGGATACCTGGTCATCCTAAAGACACTGCTTCTCCTGACTCTTGGGCCAGTGTCCTGCACTCCAGGTCATACCTTCTAAAGAAAAGAATGGGGTGGGGAATTGGGCTGGAAGGAAAGGAGGAGGACTGCATTTGGGAGAGCAAGCCTGAGCAGTAGTGTGTGGGGCTTCAGAGGATAGCATTTGCCGGGGACAGAAGAAAGGTCAAGCCAGGGAAAGTGGGGTTGGTGGAATTGGAGGGAGCGTGGGTGTCCATGGAGGGTCAGGGCATTGCTTGGCTTGAGGAGGTTCAGTCACAGTGAGTTCGGAGCTAGGCAGGAAAGCCTCCCTGCACACCCAGGTAGGACTGGGTGAATGGTAAGCCCTTAAATCTTCTTAATAATCCCTTGCATTATTAGAATAATAAAAATAATCCCAGTAATCTGTTCTACTCCTTACGTTCTGCAAGACACTTTCACACCTATTAACTCATTGGATTGCCACCACGGTCCAGGGAGGGAGGAATCACTGATGTTATTGTAAGAATTGCCTTCCACATCAGAAGCCCTGTGGGTTATGGGGTTAGCACAGTCCCATGGCTGGTAAGGGACAAATCTGGGAGCAGGACCCAGATGTCCTGTGCCCAGCCTGGTACCATTTCCAGCACTCTGTAGTCATTCTCAAAGAGGACAGCTTCTATTGGCTTGGAGCTGGGGAGGAACTAGGAAGGGCTCTCCAGCTATTTTTCTTCTCTCTCATTGATACCGTCAGTATTGCCCTCTCTGCAGAATTGTTCCCATCAGCATGATGGGCTATAATTTCTCCCATCTGAAGAAAAAACTCACATAACACTCTTGGCTCACATCTCCCTAAAGATCCTGCCCCATTTTGCTCCCTGTATATATCAAAACTCTTTAGAAGGAAATCTACACTCACTACTCTGAATCCTCTCCTCCTTCTCTCCCTCCTGTCCTTTTAATTCATGCCCTTAACCCTGTGTGTGTGTGTGTGTGTGTGTGTACACGCCAGACTAGGGATTGAATCCAGGACCTTATGCATGCTAAGTACGTGCTCTTCCACTGAGCTACGCTCTCAGCACTTAACCCTCTTTAAAATGTTCTCATTCAGCAGGGCGCAGTGAGAGCCACTACAATCCCAGTGGCTCAGGAGGCTGAGGCAGGAGGATTGTGAGTTCAAAGCCAGCCTCAGTAACTTAGTGAGGTCCTAAAGCAACTCAGCGAGACTCTGTCTCTAAATAAAATTATAAAAAGGGGCTAGGGAATGACTCAGTGGTTAAACACCCCTCGATTCAATCCCCAGTACAAAAAAAAAAATGCTTTCATTCATATCACCAATGGCTTTCATGTTGCCAAATTCAGCTTTCAAGTTTCAGTGTTCCTATTGCCTGTCACTTAACACCATTTGATGCAGTCATTCATTCCCTCCCCTGGAAACATCATCTTTCCTTGGGAGTGTCCAGGCCAGGACCCTGCCCTGTTCCTTTTTTTCCTCCACCCCACCCTGGTTCTCTGACTCTTCTCTCTTGCCTCCCTCTCTAGGAGTCTTAGGTTGCCCCAGTGCTTTAAATACCATCTTTTATGCTGATGACAGTATATTTACATCTCCAGCCTGGATCTTTCTCTTGAATTCCAGATTAGAAAATCCAATTGCCTAGTTAGTGTCTCCATTTGAAATCTGACGGACATCTCTAACTTAGCATGTGCAAAACTGACCTACTGCTCTTTCCCTGGGTGCCTCCTTCTCCCACAGCCTTCCCCTTCTTCATGTTGCTCAGGACAGATGCCCTGGTGACAGCCTCAAGTGTTCACCTTTCCTTATACCTTGCATGGGCCCAGCCCCAAATCCCCTGGCTCTACTTTCTTTCCAAAATCTGACCATTTCTGTCCACCTTCATGGTTCTCCCTGATGCTAGTCACCATCATCTGCTTCTGAGCTTGTTGCAATGGCCTCCTGTAGGCTGCCCTGCTGGGCCCAGAGGCTGTGCACCAACACAGCAGTGAGCTAGACCAAGTCAGTCCTCTCCTTGACATCACGAAGTTCTTCCTACAGGCCATCTCTGACCTCCCCCAGCCCACACTGCTACTGCCACCTTGCTGGCTGCCTGAGTATGACAGGCTCACCACGCCCAGGGTCCCCACACCTGTGGCTTCCCTGTCCCCTTGTATCTTCTCAACATTTTTCCCCTTCCTTCAAGGGTTAGCTTCTTTTACAACGCAGTGTGCCTGAGCACTTCCGCGTTGCTCCCTCCCACCCCCAAATTTAATTCTCTGCTTAGCACATATCTTCTTCAGATACACTATATTATTTTCTGTCGTTCATTGTTTTTGGTTTTTGTTTTTCTCTTCTAGCACAAATTAGTTCCTTGAGAGCAGGGGTTTTGTCTGGTTTGTTTATTGCTGTAGTCCCAGCACCTAGCACAGTGCCTGACACACAGCAGGCACCCATAGATGTTTCTGGGCTGAATGGATGCCTGAGAGGTGTGGCCAGGGTAGGGCTGGGTCCATGAGGTGCTAAGATGGCACGAGTTGCACAGTTGAATTAGGCATGGCCTCAGCACTCGCTGGTGAATCATGGGGGAGGAGAAGGAACTGCGGTGTCCAATTACCCGTTAATGTCTTATTAGATTAATACACCAGAGGAGCTTTGTTAGGATCATCCTGCAGGTTGCATAAACCTGGTGGAGAGCACATGGGTGGATGCATCTGGTCAAAAGAGGGAAGACAGGGTCCCTGGGTCCCAGGGTGCAGGCGAAAGCTGAGGAGAGGAGCCTCCAGGCTCATTCTACTCTCTTCTTCTTAGTTTCAAGTAGACAGGATCCTCAGAGTTCACTCCACAGAGCTAACTAAAATCCCCAAGCCTTTGCATTAACCTCAACTCAGAAGCACACACTGTGTGCTTGAAGCCTTGTGCTGATCCTGCTTCCAGCATCACTGTATCCTGTGGGATCTGTGGTCTTCTGGCTCCAACCCAGTTCCTGGTCTCCACCTGCCTTTACTGTCATCCCCAAACTTAGCCTTCAGCACCATGGAGGGTTTTCTTAGCCCTGCAGCTAGATGAGAATTGCAGAAAGTGCTCAGTGTATCCTTGCCCTGTTTGCTGCCTCATCAAGGATATGCAAGAAAAGGATGAAGAGAAGTGTCAGAGGAGGCTGCAGATATCCAGTGGGATATCCCGCTTCCCACCAGCCTGCGCTTTAAAGGGGCTGGGAGAATCCAGTGATTTTTCTCTCCTAGAAACCTCAGTCTTTGCCCTGAGACATTCTGCCATTTTTGAGGGCAGGGTCAATCAGCTGAATTGTGTTGCAATTCAGGGGGTG